GAGAATTAGAGTATATTGGTCTTTCACTTAAATTCATTCGTAAGGCCCAATCCAGCAAGGGGATGAGCACTCTTGACAACTCTTGCAGCCAGCTTGTTGCAGGATGGGGACCCTGGAAGGAAATGCACTCAAGGACAAAGTCACAGCGGGTACGTCTACAAGTGCATTAATGCGCTGTTGTTACTGCGCATTAAGTTTAGTACTTGTTATAACAGGTACTAACTCAATGTGCAGTACGTTACTGTGCAATAGTGCCGGCTCTCAGTCTTTTAGTGATGCTAATGTGCATTAGACCAGTTCTACAGTGCATTTGCTGTGATGTGCCAATGTCTACTGCACATTTAGCGTCTTGTGTAAATGCGCCCAGTATTGCCCGAAAGGCAGGTGACTGCACCTACTGTTCCTCCCAGCTGTGTCACCCCTGCAGATGTTGTTTCAGATAATGAGATGAGTTGAAGAAGGAGGTTTTGCTTATCAGTTTGGAAGTGCATTCCCAGCTTGAGCAATCCTGGGAAGTACTAAAACTGAGTCAAGACCGTTTGGCCCAAGATGAGGAGAAGAGTTTGGAGGATTCACAGGATTCTCTGTAGGTGTCCTTAGATTTTAAGCTAGAAGGCACCACTGATCATCTGGTCTGACCCCTAACCCTGCTTCAATGCTCCATGTTGGATGTTGGAAGCCCCAGGGGTGAGAGCATGTATGTATCCAGACCTAGTAAAAAGAGTTGTTCATTTGCAAAGTGTTTGCAGATCTTGGTTTTATTCTAAAATGATTCTTGGCAAACATTCTCAGCACTTGCAATTATAGGAATGATTGGAAAATGATGGTAAATCGCTCTGTTATGCCATGATCAGTGCATAGCATTTATCTCAGTGGGATTATTTCTGTAAAGGAAAACAGCTTCATCTTTATCCCTCAAAAACCCTGGTCCTTTTCAGAAAGTTACTACACTGGACTCCATCAATAAAGCACATAGCATCCCCCCGGTGCTCAATCAGAGCCCCATTTGTTGCAGGGAGTAATGTTGCTCAGGATCGATTAGAAAAACTTCTTTCATGGTCTTTTAAGACTGCATTCATTTTATTAGGGAAAAAGAAAAGAAGATTCAGGCTGGGCTATGGAAGCTCAGTTGCCTTCTCAAAGACTTGTCATTTAAAGGGGAAAAGATTGCTTCTTTACATATGTATGCATTATATGTGCTAATTTGATGCCTTTTTTACTCAGAATTTCTTTCTCTGTAGAAGGGGTAAGGTTTAGTGACTTGATTTACAGGGAACGTGAAACCTCTCCGATTCTAGCCTTACCTCTGACAGGCCTGGGGGCTTCACTCTGGCATTATTATTATCATTATTCATAACAATAATCTCCCACCCTATCCAGAAAGGCTCAGAGCAGCCTACAATAAATGACAAATAACACATGGATAAGGAACACAACAGCAGGCTTCCAAAACAACACTCCCAAATTTTGAAAACTTGTCCCCTGACTCCCACATCCTTGCCTATCACCCTTAAAAGCAAACCGTCTGGCCACTCCCAACCATATCACTTTATAGCTGTAGGCTCTGTAAACTCTCCTCCTTTGAGTGATTCCCATCAAGGTCAATGGCATTTCACTTGTGATTAAGGACTCTCTGTATGAATTCAGGTGTGAAAGTTAACGTTGGTTATTTAGTACAACCTCTGTTCTCTAGAGGGCTGTGACGTGACTTCTCCAAGGTCACCGAGCCAGTCGGTGACAGAATCCAGCGGCTTCCACCTGCAGGTCCCACCTTGAATCAATAAGAGCATGGTGCTTTCCCCGCCTCCCCACCCCCCGAAGTTGCTTGACCTCTTTGACTCCCAGGCTCTGTTTCCTCATTCGCATATAGGGGAAATGATACTCAGGTAAATCATTTCTGAGGCTTCCAGTACCATTTTGATTGACCTTTGTTTGAAGATGTACTCGGTAATCACCTTTTTTTTAAATTTTTTCCCTATTCCTTGAGTGCTTGCTTCCAGTTACATGGTGCCTAGTACGGGAACAGGCTTTCTGGTGTTTCCAGCCTAGGGATCTAGTCACTCTTGAAATAAGAACTGCATTGGATTGGGTCTGCAGGTGGCTTAGCACTGCTAATAAAGCCACAAGCTACCTGGTTCAGACACAAATCACATCCTGCTTCTTACTGAGGGGCTCAGTAATAGTGGTTTTCTTACAACCTCGAAACAGGTCTTCTTGAGTCTCCAGGAGTGGTGCAGATCTGTGCTGCCCCTAAAATAGGTCTGTGGTTTCCTGTCTCGATTTATCCCTGTGCTTTAATTGTTAACAGTATTTTGTTGGCTTGCCGTTATCCTGTTCTATGCATCTGCAAAGGGAAATTACTGCTAATGCCCCCTACCCCTAGTGTTGGATTGAAACCAAGATATCTATTTGGGCAGACCATTATTCATGTTTCTTTCCCCAGAACATTATTCATTCTTTCTTTCTTAGCATCTCTTCTGATGCAGAGAAGAATGGGCTAAAATGCAGTCTCTCTGCCAGAAATGATGGGAGTTGCTTGATACCTGTGCCATCAATGGCTGGAAGACGAATGCAATGAATGGGCAGTTTCACTGAGCTCTTGTAATTAAAATAGGCTCCAGTATATTGCTGGGATTGTGAACAGTATGGATTTTTTATTTCTTGCATTTCCAGGACTCTTGCATGTAGAGTTAAAGATAGGGAGTTTAGCGTTCCCCTAATTATAGCTGTCTAAGACTTTTATTAATGAAGAACATCTCACAATCCTGTAGGGCTTTGTCATCAAGGAACCCACAGCTCCTTAAGAGCTACTGGCCTGAGCTGTTACCAATCCCATGGGCTGCATTAATTGTGGGTACTCAGCCCCTCTGAAAATCACTCCTTTTCACATCTCACTGGAGTGCAGCATCCTACCCTAGGGTCAGAGATGAGAAGTGAAGGCTATCACACCCAACTGGTTTCATAAGCAGACTTCCCAGTGTTGCCCTGGCTAGATGTTAATGTTAGCAGCCTTACTAAACAAAGGGCAGGAGAGCTTTAGTGTCTGCTTTAGTTTAATGGGCCTCCCTGGGCAAAACCCTCTGCAATCCTTTTCTATCTTTTGTGGCTCAATTAAAATTAAAACTACCTTTTTCTTTTTTACATGTTGGATGTAGCACCTGCCCTGATATTACAATGGCAAGGACTGTGTTAGTCCCTAGGCTGATTACCTTGCACATTTTCTGGGGCTGTGCTTGGGACAACATGCTGAATATGCTAAAGTCCCTTGACACGTATTCTGACCTCCTGTAGGGATAGCTACAGGAGAGGAGGCTATTGAGAGAAAGCCCAAAAATACTTCCCTCTGCCTGCTGGCTGCAAAAGAAGAGCTGAAGAGAGCTTGTGCAGGGGAGCTTGTGTGTGTATGTGTGTCTGCTTGCACTTGCCTTTGTGTGCACATGTTTGTCTGCATGTGTGCATGCGTGCGATCCTCAACAGCTCTACAAAGCTTGGTAAGTGGCCCTCCAGGCCAAATAATTGCCCACACCTGCCCTAATGGTAGGGACCTGAGTCTGCTTACAATGCACTGCAATTACTAAGGGTCAGTGGTCACCTCTTGCTCTCCCGCCATGAAGGCTGGTAATGTGGGGAGAAAGGGGAAAAGAACGCTGTGAGGTTTTCTTCGGGGAACTCCTGCCTCCTGCCCTCACAGGAAGGATCATAGAAAGTTAGGTTTGGAAGGGACCTCAGGATGTCGTCTAGTCTGACCTCCTGCCCAAAGCAGGACCTTCCCCAACTAGATCATCCCAGCCAAGGCTTTGTCTAGCCGGGTCTTCAAAACCTCCAAGGATGGAGAGTCCACCACCTCTCTGGGTAGCCTGTTCCAGGGCTTTACTACCCTCCTAGTGAGAGAGTTTTTCCTAATATCTAACCTAAACTTCCCTTGCTGCAACTTGAGCCCATTGCTCCTTGTTCTGTCATCTGCCACCACTGAGAACGGTTCAGCTCCATCCTTTTTGGACCCACTTTTCATGTAGCTCAAGGCCGCTATCAAATCCCCGCTCAGTCTTCTCTTCTCCAGGCTCAATAAGCCCAGCTCCCCAGCTCTCTCACCATTTTCGTTGCCCTCCGCTGTACTCTACAATTTGTCCACATCCTTTCTGTAGTGGGGGGCCCAAAACTGGACACAAGAAAAGTCCACAGGATGGGGACCACAGTCTTTGCGCTGCGATTTATACTTCAGGGAGGGGGTGATGGTAGGGAAATCTTCCTCTTGGCAGCTTGCTACGGGGGGTGGAGGGGAGGCTCTAACCCTACCTTGTCTAGCAGGCTCTGTGGCTCTGCCAAAGCTCTTTGGTTCTTGCCAGGATGGTCTGTGTGACTCCTGGGAGTGCACAGGCCCTCCCTCCAACCCCTGTTGTTCTTGACTAGCCTGTTGTCAGGGTTAGAATTTGGGCTAATG